ATCCCTTGAAATTACTCCCAGACGCAAGGAAAAGGTCAGGGAACAACAGTAAGGAAAATCATTAAGTTCATTATTTTATCTGGGATTTTACAATTTTGAGGATTAAGTTCCTCATTAACGTGCACAATTGGCTGAAAATCGATGTGCTTTAATTCTATAAAAACCGTCCTGGGTCTCAATGTAAAACAACAATGACATATAGCGCATGACAACAGTGACAGCTGACTCACCTGAACTGCAGCATCGTCTCCGAGAGCTGAACAACTCAAGGTTGGAGTAATCCCCAGGAACCCGGAGTCCGCTACTTCCTCTACAGTCTCTCCGATACTCAGCACTAGAGTGGCGTTGACGAACGACACGATGATGTACGCGTCAAACTCATCTGCAACACAAACACTCTACTTCACAGCAACAAGCTCCGCACTGATGTTGAATGAGCAATGATCATTGCGAGTGTTGTATTTATACAATTGGTGTTTTTTAAAAGATTTTAAGTCGTATTGCTAACTTCAACCTTTTTGTTGGACAGCCTAACGATAAATTGCATCTGAGTAAAGAACAATCGATCAGAATCAAACCAACAATATTCAGATTTGAAGGTATGATATAAAATGTATTAGACGGCAATAAGCCACTCAGGTACCAAGACAATTACATGGTTTTATGAGAATACAGGCTGAATTAGGGCATGATTTTAGGTGGAACTGAACTGATTGTTTAAGAGTCAACCAATGTAAGCAATTAAAAATAACAACGAATGGTATTAATTTACAAGAGTTAAAAAGTGGACAAAGACATGAGAATGTCGAGAGCCACTTGAAGAGAAGAAGACAGTTGATTGGAAGAAGTAAAACAGTTTGTTGGTTAGGCAGATTGGCACCCAAATCCATGCCATTTTGAAAGAAAAAGGACTGAAAACTAGACAATTTAAAATTTGAATATTTATTTATCCCCTCACCCAGAAATTTACTTGAAATAGAGTTTTAAGTTAGCACTTGTAAACATTTGTCATCAACATTTAGACGTTAACAATAATTGTAACCTATAGTTTTAACTTTATTTAATATTACATCAATATAAAGTAACCACAATTAAAATTAAATCTTGGGTTCTTCATTATTGTTTTTATGATGTTACTTTTGAATACAAAATATACTTGGATAATTTAGAAAAAGTAAAACAACTATTATATACATTTTCAAATTAAATAACCTTAATGTAAGAGGTTAAAATTATTAAAATTCAAAGAAATAGTGCGGTTTACAAATTTAATATTATTTATTAATCTTGCTCTAATTTCATCTTTACAAAAAAAATAAATAAAATAAACTGAGAAAGTAGCTTTCCAATTTTTTTTTTTTTTCAGTTTAATTATCATCATGTTGAGTTACAACTGTCATTAAATTTTTAAAAGAAAATGCAGATTTCAGGACCTAATTTACCTAATTTAATAGCTTCAAAAACCTCTGGTATATTAAAAATTTGTAAACTTGGAAATTAAAGCACTTGAAATCATGACGTGTCGTAATTTCTCCTCGACTCCAGTCTTCTTTCTTACCTTGTCAATCATCTATCGGGCAGTCAAGGCAGCGAAACCTGCAAAACAAAACAACTGGTGTACAATCAATTTTTAATGTACACCAGTTAAGTTAGTAACTTTTACTTAATAACATCAGCATTGCCAACCGCCAGCCTGCCTGGAAATGTGAGAATACAAAACAAAATTGAACAAGGTCCTTTCTCCATGAATAGATGATGATAGAGAACGCCTACTAGAAGATGAAGATATGTAGGATGAATAATGGATTACTTTATCAATTAGCATTCATAGTAAAACAGTGGAACCTCAATAAGTCTCTCAAGGGCATGATGAAATAAGACTTGTTATAAAGGTAGACTTCTCATCGAGGTTTGCAATAGCATTTGATTAGGGCTATAATAAATTCAACAGGATTTGAAAATTACACTTATTATCAAGAGGGACTTGTTATTGAGGTTCCACTGTAATATGTCTACATCATGTGACTTAGCTAAACTTGTTAATTAGGTGTAATAAAGGGATAACAAATTTTTTATTGGTGCAAGAAACTATTGAAGCCATTGTGTTTTTTAATAGCCTATGTTACAAATAAACCAAATAGATTTAGCAAAGATCGGCAAAATCTTCTTCAGTTTGTTATAATTTGTAAATATTATTGAATTGAATAGCCTAAATTATTTAGCTATGGAAAACTGTAAGCCAAATATTTGAACTGTGTTTTTTTAACACATTAATTGGCCCAGTTACACATTTAATAGGGGTCTGCGGGTCCCCGATTTTTTCGGGTCGGGTCGGGCCAGCGGAAGGCCCGAGAGACCGGGTCGGGTCAGAGATTTGTTCGGGCCAAGATCGGGTCGGGCCAAAAAAATTATTATTATTTTCAAAGTTATAATAAGTAATTTTCAAAGAAACACTCTTATATATTATTACAGAGGAATTAAAATGTTAAAATTAGAATTAAATATTAAGTTTGCTCACGTTTAAGAACAAAGACACAACAGAGCAATTGCCTTACTGTCACTAGCCAGAGCCAGTCGTCTACTGACAAAACAAAAGCCGTGACTCAACAGTGCAAAGAAAACGAAGTCAAAAGAAAGACTATTTATCCAGAGGTCCCATTTTAATTATTTATTGTTTAAAATATATTTTAGTATTTTATTTACATAATAAATTATAAACAAAAGAAATATCTTATATAGTGTACAGATCTGTATCTTGTTCTTTTATTTTCCTATTGTCCTTTTTGTCATTCAGTAACAAAACAAAACAACACATCTGATCGTCTGGTTAGGCATAGTATGGTCACTATTTCATTTTTTTTTAAAGTATCAAGTATCAGCAAGTCTACAAAGGGTTAGGCCTAAATATTTTATAATTTTATTTTATGAAAGTTTTCATCAGTAAAATTATTTTTTTCTTAGGTTAGATAGAGTTTCAAAAAAGATATTTCTAAGATCCAATACAATATTTACAAGACACAAACTACCATGAATTAATTTCTTTATAAATTATCTGTAACAGTTTTATATTTTTGAATAAAGAAAATATATCTTTTTGTCTCTACTTCCTTGTTTCGTTACTTGCATTTTGTCAGCAATTGGAACAACCAGGTGGTGTAATAGGGGCGGGGGAGGGGGAGGGTCTATGACCTTGAGTGTCCCCGGGCCTGGCTCGGGTTGTGTAAGAGGGGAGGGGAGGGGAGGGGGAGGGTCTGTAACCTTGAGTGTCCCGGGCCGGCTGTGAGAGTGATTCATGGTTTTTTGTTTACATTATACTACCCTTCCTTCCCAGAAAAAGACCCTACGGTTTCAAAAACATTGACTTACAGTATAAAAACATTGAGTTGTGTTGCTAATTAGGGCACTATAATGTCTCTGCTGTCTGCTTATGTTGCCAAATTAGCATTTAACTTTCTTTTCTCTTGATTTAATATAATTTTCTATATATTAACACGTTCAGTGCGGAAAACCTTCAAACAGGCGCTCGATAATGGCGGCGAGGCCCGGGCGAAGCCCCGCAGCGCAACTGAATCGGTGAACGCGATTGGCATTCAAATATTTCAGTCTGACGAATAAAAAAAGAGCAGCGGTGATTGTGCTGTGTTAGCCCGAGAGTGGTCGTAGTTCACTGAAACACCCAAAGGTAGCAGCACTGCCTGGATTCGTAGCCAGTGTCTTTGTAAAGTGGCTTGAAAAGAGAAAATTGCCGGAACCGGGACAAAAGTATTGCTAGACGGGATTTTACGGGAAATTTTAGTACCAACCTACACCAGACTAAAGCTTATAATCTAAGCTACAGACTGATAACGATTAAAACGTTCCCCGGCAATGGCTGAGCTCACACTAAACTAATGTGGAGAGAGTGGCATGACGTCAGCTTTAGCTGATGTCCGCCACCAGTGCTAGTGTCGGACATCATCTATTGATGATGCCCGCACTCAACGTGTTAAGAGTTCCTTTTTGGGTACCTAATAATTGTGATATTGTTTGACTTGAGTTTATGGATTTTTAATTCTTTTCATTTATTAGCTAAAATCAGTTGTTTTAGGATCTCTTGCAATACCTATAACTGTGCCTATAACTGTGTATCTATAACTGTGTACCTATGACATGATATGCAATTTTTACAGTCTTTACTATAACTATACCATAAACAATGTATGTGTGCTATTTTTACTGTTTTAGAGTTTTATAGTAAATTAGTTTACACAAATATTTTCTTCAATGAGTTCTCCACTTGTCATGTTGCTTAGTCTATTACTATTTTAGGCCCTATAAAAAATAATTCCTATGCAAAGCTGTAGGCCTACTAATGCCAATAATAGATAATTCTTTATTTATGATGATGTAACTAATAATGCTATTGTAAGTGTGAGGTTTTTGTACTTAGGAGGTTAGGAGGCAGGGAATGAATGATTCATATTGCATGGTGGAAACATAGAATTTTTATTTTCTTCTTGCTTGCAGTCTTGAAGCCAGTCCACAGGCCCTAAACTTGTGATAAGGTTAATTGATTTGTTTATGATCCTTTTATATTAAGTTCCATTACAAACTTGTTGTAATATAGCTGTTTAGATATTTCAACAGTTATGAAAATGGGAAAGAATGGCTTGATATAAAAAGTTATTTTCTTCTTTCTTGCAGTTGAGGCAACTTCTAAGCTGTAAATAAGTTATGAACATGAAATAATATACATAAATACATTTTTCCCCATATGTTATTTTCAAGTAATATTAAAAACACAGATAGGAGTTAAAAAAATATAAAAAATCCGGTAATTAATAATTTTTGGCCCGACCCGATTTTGGCCCGAAACCCGAGGACCAAAATTATCGGCCCGACCCGACCCGACCCGAACCAAAAAAGTCTGACCCGCAGACCCCTAACATTTAAAGACCAAAAAATCTCAAAATAATAGCTCTAACCAACTGCAAACGTAGATTTTTAAATTTTGAAAACAGTTGGAATCAGGGTTAAAAAGCTCGATTAACACCATCATTATTCTCTGGTTGTTAGTAATCTTTCATCATTTTCCAACTGATAACATTATTCACTATACCTATCAGAATTAAATTTAAATTAATTTTGGAATTTTCAAACTGTGTGTCTTTAATGGAAATAATCTAGCAAGGTTAAGCCACATTACAATCAAGATAGGACTTAACGTTATTATTACAATGGTCTAAGAAAGTGCAGCAAGCAATACACTCAGGTATAAGTTTGACGTGGACTGCTCATTTTGTGATAAGTATAGGTGATACAGCTAATAAAACAAAACTGGAAGAAAAACTAGGATGGAAGACTAGCCCCTAGGCGTCCAAAGAAGAGTTGGAAATTATGAAGTTGCCAAAGACATGCGAATGTTATTTTCTCAACAACTACATAGATTCTTGATAATCATGGAAAATAAAATTACGTAAAATGTGTGATTGATTATCTATAAACACAATTACTGCCTCATCACTTAAGCTACGCGATGTTTCACTTCATCGGAACAAATTTTGTTATCGATGTTCCATCCTTGATTCACTCGTGCAGGCAACTTCCTGCAAGAGGCGACAAGTTGGATTTAATGTTTGCACTGAAGTGGACCATCAGCAAACTTTCACTGACGGGACAGATTGTGCAATATTAACAGTAAAACTGACAAAATGATACATAGCTCAACAGTTCAAACTACCATTGGTAACAAAATACACAATCAAATGTATGTGAAAACATTCACTGACGGGACAGATTGTGCAATGTTAACAGCAAAGCTGACAAAAAAGATACATAGCTCAACAGTTCAAACTACCATTGGTAACAAAATACACAATCAAATGTATGTGAAACAGTTGTACAACTTTTTTAACGTTCCCAATGAAAAAATGTGAATATGGAATAGTACTTTAAAGCAAATGACTATTTTTACAGGATGAAATCAGAATTAAAAAGCTCGATTTGTAAACATCACACTTTTCAGAAGCAATATAATAGTTTTCATCCTCTTTCATCCTGTGAATTACCCTTATGATTAAATGAAGTCAAACAAAATTATGATCAGCAAAACTTTAAAGAGAATATATTATTAAGTTACAAAAGTCAACTAGCCTTCAAAATAAGTGCAAGAGAAAAACAAAAAAAAAAGATACGGTACACTAATACCTCCCATATCTTAACTATTACAGTAGACTCTTGCTCATCAGGACTAATGTGGCGGACGTCCAGTCCGGATTACGAAAAATCCAAACTATCGAGAGTCGAGCAAATACACAGTACTGTATATGGCCGTTTTTTTTCAATTTAGTTCCAGGTCCACAGTAATGATAGCCGGGCATATGGACTTCCACCGGTAATAATCTTTACGGCCGAATTTTTTTCCCAGGTCCACAGTAATGATAGCCCGGGCATATGCAATTCTACCAGTAATAATCTTTTCGGCTGAATTTTGTTCCAGGTTCACAGTAATGATAGCCGGGGCATATGCAATTCCACCGGTAATAATCTTTTCGGCCAAATTTTGTTCCAGGTCCACAGTAATGATAGCCCGGGCATATGCACTTCCACCGGTAATAATTTTAACCGCCGTGTTATACGATTTTTTTTATTATTCGAGGTAGTCTCGGTCCTGTTTCGCTCTGATAATCGGACTACTACTGTACTGTGCCACTAAAAAAAATCACGATTACGGATCCGGACTACCGGGAGTCCGGACAAGGCCGATCCGGATGAGTGAGAGTCTACTGTAATAAAAAATTAATTTAACTACCCATGTGTTTTACAGCAACTTGACGTCCATAAGATAGGAGAGGTTCTATATACCCATGATTATTTTACTTGACACATAAAATGACAGTAATTGTGATTCAAATAACCAGCATATATCAATCTGGCAATCTGAAATGAGTCTGTCAACATAGTGTAAGTGTGACCAAACTACTACATATAAACTTGACCACTACTGACCATCAACTCTCTTCTTCACAGTCCAGACTGCGTTGGGGTTGCCGGGCAGCTCGGACACAGCCATCTCTGACACCTCAAGACCGTGACGCAACACTCGTATTGTCGACCTTGGTCCTCGCCCGCAGGCCATGTACAGCTGGGGCGTATCCTCATTGGCTGCAACAATCAAATGTTATCCACAATCCAAATATACAAGTATAATACAACAACAGACTAAAACATTATGTTAAAAACGGTTGTAATATTTTGTATTTCAATGAGAATGAATGGGTAGACATCAGTGTTAAAAAGCTCGATTTGAACCATCATCTTATTCTGGAATTTTCTTGTTGAAATCATCATTATCATCCATTCGTTCTCACTGGTTACTCAAGTAAACACTTTGCTAATTTTTCCCGTTTTAACAAGAAACTAATTAAGACTTTGTGCCAGTTGTGGTTTTCTCCCATCTGAAATATTGTAATCAAAATTTCTTTTAACAAAACACGACATTTACGGTATATTAACTCATTTGATATTTTGTAACTCAGCATTAGTGACTGTATGATTTGAGCACAAAGTTTACTTTACACAATGGCCACTAATTGGGGTACATCAGTGTTAAAAAGCTCGGTTTCTACCGTCATTATATTCTGGGAAGTTAGTTATAGGAATCATCACTTGTAACCCCACTTGTGAAAAATTAATTTACATATTTTATAAAAGGGTTTAAATGAATATGTTCTTCAGGCTCATTCTGTGTTTAATGAGTAACAGTAAATGAGACAGCTCACGATTCAGTAAATTATTAGATATATTTATTTAATATACTTTATCAGTAAAAACTTAACAAAACTCATTTGCAATAAATTAAAACAACTGAAATCACAGCTAACCAACAATCATAGCTTCAAATTATTCTGGTTGGTTTTACTTTATGCCTTCTCAGATCTTCTTAGAGGATTAATTAGGGTGTTGATCATCACGATTCAGATGTTTGACTCATCATCGAAAGCATAAAGTAAATCCAGAATAAAGCAATGCTTTATACAGGAAGGGAAAATTTATACAGCTTTGACCTGCCCATCTTATCTGCTATTGAAACCCTTTGTATTTTATCCTTAGAATAGTAGGTATTTGTCTGGTTGTTTTTTCGTAGTTGGCAATCACTGTGTTGTTAAAGTACAGAAAACAATTGATAATTATTTAGGGTTATAGAGTTTACGATGACAGTAATAAATAAAATAATATTGTAGATCTCTTTAAACCAAAATAGCCTTTAAATTCAAACCACCGAGTAACCAAAAAGAATGATATCTGCATCTGCCCCTCTGTTAGTTCAAATTTATTGATGTCCAACTGTATTTTAATATGTGAACGATAGACTCACCAAGATCTGCCACTTGACACGCCAAGATGGGTGACAGAGAGTCCATCTCATCTACCAACACCAGGTTGCGGAGAGGTCGGGGGGCAAAGAAGAACGTGTCTCCCTCCTCCAGAGGCATGGCCGAACTGAACTCCGGCTCATCATCGTCATCTCCCAGGTGTGCTATCTGGTACAGGTAGCTGCAAGAGACACAGGGATGTTGATTATCAACATCAACTAACTAAGAATAATCAACCCAGCAATCTGTAGGATAAAGAACTTAAGGAAAATTCCCGAAACTATCATATAGATATTATCATTGACTTTAAGATGAAGTAGACATTCCATCTAAATGGACCAGCCAAAGTCGAGGTTTTATTGAAAAATACTATAATTTTCATTTACAATACTATTTGACTTTATCATCAAAATACACTTTCTCAGATCTTCTTAGAGGGTTATTGAGGGTGTGTTGATCATCAAGAGTTCAGAAAATTGTGTCATCATAGAAAGTGTTTTTACTGATTATACTCAGCCCAGGTTATATTTTAGAAAGAAGCAAGCCATGGGGTGGTTTAAGGTTTTTTAAATATTTTTTGTGAACAAGAACTTGGCATTTCTCATCAATAAATCAACTATCTGGAGAAATCCGACAACAGGACGAGAATCTGCGATATGCTGTGGAACCTTTTATTTCTAAGTCCCTAAACACCTCCTCAGGTATGCTAGCAAGTAACTTTATAATATAAAAAAATTCAACCTCACATTAGATACTTATTGCTAATCATCCTAATCAATTCCAGAAATAATTTTAAACCTATAACTTAGAACTGGCAGAAGCAGTGATTGTGGAAAAATGTTCAGTTCATCTCCCGCCGTTATGTAGTCATTATTGTCACCCGTGACCTTGAATGCACAAGAAGTTGGCAAGAGGATACCCTTAAATTGTACCTTAATTCAACTTAGCTGTATCTATGTTAGTTAGGTTAGGGATGGGTCGATTGTTAAAGCAGTTGTCAGTTTTAAGGCCGTAAACCTTCAATAATAATACCAAACAATTAACCAGTAATCACTTCACTTTTCTTGTTTTACTTTATGCATTCTCAGATCTTCTTAGAGGATTAATTAGGGTGTGGATCATCACGATTCAGATATTTTACTCATCATAGAAAGCATAAAGTAAAATCAATCACTCCAACACCATTGCTTTGCTGGAGTATAACAGCATTATAGCATTGGCCTATTCATCTTTACACTACTTCTTAAGCCCTGTATATTAATCCTTGATTTAATTCTATACTCTACTATTATAAAAATAATACCATTAAAACTAAGATGAAACTACAATTTTTTAGTAAAATGTCCCATATCAATTCCACTCTGTCCAACTATAAAATCGACCAGAAGGATAATAACATGGTGTTTCTTTTCCAACTAGCGAAACTATTCAAGCAAGGACCTTGAATGCATTAGAAGTTGGTAAGGAACTAATTTAATTAAGATAGCCCAATATTGTTCCCTAATGTGTGACTGTATCTATCTATGTTTATTAATAATTTTTAACTCAACATTACCTGATTTGCTTAAAAAATTTGTAACATAGCCTATTAAAAGTAACATGTTTAAGTCATTAGGACAAGCCTGTGGCTGTAGTGATAAAATTTAGGTGACCTTGAACAAGGAATATATGCTTCAACGCTAAAGTGAAGGCTTAAAAACCCAAGACGCTATATCACTAGGCTATCTTGATCAGTAAATTAATATTTCAACAAGCAAGACATCATTTTACCAACACAAAAAAAGGCAAAATTTGATCAGAAACACGGACCAAAAGTTTTTAATCATAGATACTCATTAGTCTAACATGTAATGTTACATCATTTCAAATTTTGCCAGTGAGTTCAATTAGTCTATTAAGTTATGTAACCTGTGAAATATGTTGTAAACTATGTGGTTTTACAATAGAATAAAGAAATGTATAGATCTTTGTTAATCAATTTTGCTGCTGTTGAGAGAAACAAATGTTTGCAATCGAAGATGTTTAAGATTTTTAGCATTGCTTTATTTAATTTGTTTCAATCTGTGATTCCCAACTTCAGCGAAGAATTTCTAATCAGAATTTCATACAAGCAAGCGCAATTAACTCATCATTAGTTGGGTTGAAGTAGTTTGAATTGAAAAAATATTAAACTTTAGATCCCATCTCCAACAAAATTACAGTGGACTTGAATTTGAAATAAAAAATATTTGCCCTCAAATCGAAGAATGCAAGAGGTCATCAAATCTTATTAGTTACAACAGCTATGGGAAGTTAAAGAATGAATCAGGTGTTTCAACCACACAAACAATTATACTACGTGCTATGCACATGACCTACTTATTGTTTCTGAGTATTTTTAGGTGTGTTTTGAGGATATTTAGGTTGTATTTTAGGAAGAAGCCATGTCGGTGGTTTAAGATTTTTTTAAATAATTTTTGAGGACAAGAACTTGACATTTCTCATCAATAAATCAGCTCTCTGGAGAAGTCCGACAATAGGACGAGAATCAGTTTTATATTGTGCAACCATTGTTAAGTCCCTGGCTGGACACCTTCTCAGTTATGCTAGCAAGTAACTCTATAAAATTACTTATCGCCAATCATCCGAATCAATTCCAGGAATAATTTAAAAAACCCAAAACTTAGTAATTAGAGCCGTTAAGGAAGGCAGAAGCAGTGAAGCGATTGTGGAAAAATTCTCAGTTCATCTCCCGCCGTTGTGTAGACATCATTATTGTCTCCCGTGACCTTGAATGCATAAGACGCTGGCAAGAGGATAGCCTTACATTGGACCTTAATTCAACTTGGCTGTATCTGCGTTAGTTAGGTTTGGGATGGGTAGATTTTTTATGTAAGTCGTCAGTTTTAAGGCCGTAAAATTTCAATAATAATACCAAACATTTAATCAGTAATCACTTCACTTTTTTTGTTTTACTTTATGCATTCTCAGATCTTCTTAGAGGATTAATTAGGGTGTGGATCATCACGATTCAGATATTTTACTCATCATAGAAAGCATAAAGTAAAATCAATCACTCCAACACCATTGCTTTGCTGGAGTATAAAAAAAAAATTACAGCATTGTATTGGGCTTTTCATCTTTACTACTTTTAAAGCCCTGTATATTAATCCTTGATTTAATTTTATACTCTACTATTATAAAAACAATACCATTAAGAACTAAGATACAATTACAATTTTTTAATAAAATGTCCCATATCAATTCCACTCTGTCCAACTATAAAATCGACCAGAAGGATAATAATATGGCATTTCTTTTCCAACTAGCGAAACTATTCAAGCAAGAACCTTGAATGCATTAGAAGTTGGTAAGGAACTAATTTAATTAAGATAGCCCAATATTGTTCCCTAATGTGCGACTGTATCTATCTGTGTTAATTAATAATTTTTAACTCAACATTACCTGATTTGCTTAAAAATTAAAATTAAAGCAATAATTAAAAAATAAAAATTAAAAAACATAGCATATTAAAAGTAATACGTTAAAGTCGTTAGGACAAGCCTGTGGCTGTAGTGATAAAATTAAGGTGACCTTGAACGAGGAATATCTGCTTCAAGGCTAAAGTGAAGGCTTAGAAACCCAAGACGCTATAATGGCTATCTTGATCAGTACTTTAATATTTCAACAAGCAAGACAACATTTTACCAACACAATAAAGGCAAAATCTGATCAGAAACACGGACCAAAAGTTTTAAATCATAGATACTCATTAGTCTAACATGTAATGTTACATCATTTCAAATTTTGCCAATGAGTTCAATTAGGCCTAATCTATTTTAAAGTTATGTAACTTGTGAAATATGTTGTAAAACATGTGGTTTTACAATAAAGAAATGTATAGATAATTTTCCTTAAGTATTTTAGCGATTAGTTGGGTTTGAAAAAAAAATTAAAGTGGATCAATGGAAAATTATTGGTTGTTTTTTTTATTTATCAAT